ATTTAGTAGAAATATGATTTTAAGTAAAAACTAGTTGGTAATGGTATTTTGTCTTGAGGCAAGTTACATGAACTTCCCGATATGTGTGAATAATCGACTTAAGCAATAAAGAATAAACTAATTTATTACACATATTTGAAAACGAACGAACACGTTAACTCGGAGTATTTTCTAACACCAAATTTTCAAAAATCAATAATTTTTATAATTGAACCAGTTTCCGTAAGACTTTAATGATTTAGTATGTGCATTAAGACCAAGTACTCTATCGTTGTACCAAGTAAATCGTCTAATTTTAATTCTAACAAACGCCAAAAAAACTACTCATTTTCCCAAACTTTGATGAATTTTTAAAATTAAACTACTTGTCGTAAAGCCGTAATATTTCAGTAAGTTCTATAAGACCATGATATATATCGCCAAGAAAAGTTCCATAAAAACCGGCTTATTTTTTTTAACAGTTTATCACAAGAAAAGGGCTAGGTAGATTTTCACCTGAAACTAATCAGTATCATTTCCAAATAATATCTTTCAAACAGTTTTTGATTTTTTAAAATCGATTTCTTAGTATGAGCTTCAATGTGGACGAAAAGTTTAACAGTTTTTTCCAAATTACAAAGAAACGGCACGGCCAATCGCTGCACAAAACTGAGAAAAGATAATCCACATCAAAAGGATACATCGATTGGCTTTTAAAGTTTTTAAAATCGGTTCAGACGTTTTTGAGCAAACGTCGATGAAAGGTCTAATTTTGGCAAATGTCAAAAAAACGATAGTAATTTTTGCAAATTTTGACGAATTTTTAAAATTAAACGACTTGTCGTGGAAGCGTAATATTTTAATATTATCTATAAGACTATGGTATCTACCGTCAAAGAAAATTCATAAAAATCGTCGAAAATTTTATTACAAAAAAACGGCCCGGCCGATCTTTACCAAAAACTAATCAGGTCGATTCCCAACTAATATCTTTCGAACAGTTTTTGAATTTTCAAAATCAGTCCAGAATTGCGGGCTAAAACGTAAACGAAAAGTTTTTCACTTTTCTGCGATTTACAAAGAAACGGCTCGGCCAATCGTCGCACAAAACTGAGAAACGCTAGTCCTCATCGAGGTACATCGAATGGCTTTTAAAATTTTAAAATCGGCCTAGCTCATTTAAGAAAACGATGGTTTACGGCAAAAAATCTGTTCACACACACACACAGACTTTTTCCAAATTTAGTCTCATTCGATTCAGAATGGCTTGAAACGTTGAGAAAACATGTGTTAACGCGTCACTCCCAACCCTGGTATAATTATAATATTTTATTATCTCCATGCAGGATAGCGACAATAAACCCTTTCATTGTTACGCGTCCTGTCGCAAATTCAGTAATCCATTTTTCCTAGAATTTTTATCACCTGTCCCTAACTACAACTACATCATCCTATAATCCTTATATTTCCAAGAAATTCGCACTACCTGTATCAAGTTTAAATTCTTCTATCATGCAATTTATCAACCAATACCTGATCGATTGATAAATGTAATAACCACTGATTGGTTCCAAAATTGTAATGGGGTGTCCTTAACTCCACAAAAATGGGCCAATCAGAAAAATATATAAAATTATAAAATCTACATAATTTTGGTATCAACTAAAATTTCATATAGCTAAGATCAGTCGTAATTAACACTCAAAACTATAACATGTAATTCAAACTTCAACTATCTAATCATCTATAAGTCTTAATATTCTTTAAATATACAATAATCAAACAGTTATTCAACATCTTTTATTCATATTCTCTTTCAAACGGTCTGATGATATAGCCAACAGCTAAGTATATCTGGTCCTTCGGCAAAGTGCAAGTGTTCAATAGAGTTCGGCAGCATCCAGATAGATCACGAACTTCTTAAACACTTTGAACCTATCTAAACAAATACTTTTTTGGCCATTCAAACCGAATGGTCAATTTACTAAACAACATGAAATTAGCGAATCGGATTTTTTTATGAAAACAAACTTCTCCTTGGGGAAGTTAATAAAATATCATTTGCAATATTTATTACTATTAGAAAAAATCTAATAGTAATCTAATCAGAACGGGAAAGGACAACCATCAGGTTTCTTTCTAATATCACTAAGTTACAAAATCATACAACACATAGTTCTGATTGCTGCTCAAACATCAAAAAAATAATCCAGTCCTTTTTCATTCAAGCCATAAATCTCCTTTTGTCGAATAAACCCTAGTAAAAAAATGGCAATAACCATTGTACCTCGGTTTGGGGTCACAAACACAAATGGTTTAAATCGAAGGGTACAAAACTTGCGCATTAATTTTACGACCCTCGTAAAATAGTTTTCGGGCATCATAAATGTTCGTAAATCAGGAACAGAAACTTGTAGATGGATATCTAAATAATCTATTATTAGACTTCCGGAAGCATTCTGCACTAACAATGTTTGGTATGTAGTTCAGTTAATGAAATACTCCTCAAAATTCCTTAAGAATTATAAGTGATCAATATAAACTAGACCAGTATAAAACTTATATATTATACGTATTTTCTCAAAATTTTCACATGTAATTATGCACCACAGTACATAAAAACTCTTATTAAAACCATATTTCATTCACAACCAGTTAGTTTATTCCGAAGACAATAAAAATGAACTTTGACCCGCAACTTTTTTAACAATTTCTTCACTCTTCTGTTCATTCTGTTCAATCATCGTGTTAGGGTCATGATGGAGCTAAATTTATAAAAAAAAAACACTGCACGTGTTAGGGTCCGCAATGTTTGTCATTTTGAATGTAGGCTATCCACTGACTTTGTAAAAATATGCAAATTTTCAATGTTCACATTGTTTTCACAAATTATATTAAAAGATTTGGTGTAAAATACAAATGAACTTCGACCCGCAACTTTTTTAAGCATTTTTTAGCTTATATATTCATTTCGTTTAATCATCGTATAAGGGTCATGATAGAACTAAGTTTTTAAAAAAAAACACTGCACGTGTTAGGGTCTTCAGCATTTGTAATTAAATTGATTATAAATTGAAACTAGTGGGCATCTTAAGGCAAATTGCTGGAACTTCCCGTACAGTAATTAAAAATCCTGGTACGGAACTTAAAAGAATCACACAAAATGTGTACACATTATGAAAATCTTTATCAAATATCTGATAATTTGATGTACATAAGTCCAATAAACATTTTTGACCGCCAAATGAAATTTTTTTAACTTATTTTTTATTGAGAGTCCATAACCGCTGGACCTGCCTTTCCAGAAATTTAATAATTTCTTCATCTTGTCAATACAAGTAAAATGTTTTTTGAATTATTCAAAACGGACGCTCCGTTCTCAAAAACTGAGTTACCGTTTTTGGCACTTTCTGCTCCGTATCTTCAAAACGACCAGACCTGCCTATGCCAAAAACTAATCAGCACCTTTCCTTATTAACAGCAATCGGATGTTTTATGAATAATTCAAATCGGTTGAACCGTGTTACCGAAATCGTCGACGAAAATTTGTATCCGCACACACATACACACACACAGATTCATTTTTTCTGAGGTATGCCAAAATGTTCAGAAATCTTTGAAACGTAAAAATATATAAAAAATTTCATTTTCATTTTCGATTTTAATGCGATTCGTATAACTTACCCTACGGGAAGTTAATAATTTGTACTTTTGTATATAAATTATCTGCATTCTCGTTATTTTATTACTGATAATTATGTAATATTTAATGTTTACATTGTTTTCAGAATTTATTTATTTAAGATTTGATGTTGAAGCAACAATCAAGTTCGTGAAAAGCCTAAAATAAATTATGTTGCTAACAAATTACAATATTAAAATATTAACATTGATTTTTAATTACCAGTGAATTTATGATATTATTGGAATAAAACTTCAAAATCATATTAGATTATTCAATATGTATAAAATGAAAGATTTTTGCTGTATTGTTTTCAATTCGCCCTAGTATATTATCTTCAAAATATATCAATCAATGTCAAAGGAATTAGAACAAACATTACCAGCAGAATATTCGATCAAGTTGATATATTTTATGATATACTCGTGGCTCAAAGAATTTTCAAAAAAAAAAAAAATTATAATAAGTAAGATTTTAAGTAATATATGTGCTCTGGTATTGAATGATACTTGATATAATTTTTGGAAGATTTTTATAATATAAAACAAGGCATTCATAAACAGCCAAGTTGAAGCTAATTGATTTAGCAACCAATATTAATCCTCATAGTATTCAAGCTTAAGTTTTTAATATTTTAGGAATAAATGATTGAAGGAAATATTGATGGAAAGCATTCAAAAGTTCAATATGTAAATCTGTCAACTGTCAAATAAAATTTATATAAAATATTAAAGATATTTTTAAACGTATTTTATTTTATTACACACGAAGCAAAACTTATAAGATGATGTCATATCCCAGAATTATGTTTACAAAGCTACTGTCATCGCCCTGTTATATAAGAAATAAAGTAAACGATAATTCAGATACATTTTTCGGAAGGAAGTAAATTCATGCAACAAAAATATTTCATTACACATATTACACAATTATGTAACTTAAAATTTAAATATGCAATAAAAAAACTACATATCTAAACAAAAAACTATGATAGTATTATACATGATATAATCTATTACAAATGCAACGTTTAGTGATTTTATACCACGTATATACACACTTATATTTGCGCAAATAAAGGTGGAGATATTTGCAGACGTTATTAATTAAATTTCACTTTTTTAATATCACAAGTGTCTATTGATATCATAAAGAATGCAATTTATGATGAAGTTTATTTATAGAATTTATCATTTACTAATGATAATTATTTCAGCATATCATTTAAGATCATTTCTGGTTCCAGAAATATATAATAACTCAATTTTAATATATAAAAATTAGGATTTATTAAAACATCTAATACAGAAGTTACATATCTAATTAAACCGGCGCTTACCCATATTTGTTAAATGCAAATGTCACTTGTACAGATCTGAATTCACTGTTTGCACATTTCTTTTAACATTGAACACAAATCGTAACCTACAGAGCGGTTCACAGATTTATTCACATAAATTTCACACAATAATCAATTATCTCGCACAAATGCCTATCGTATATTCGCGATTGAGTAGTACTGAAAATCTGAAAATGGTGATGGGCGAGCCCAAAATACGATCCCCATACACTCAGTGCAATGAGTTAAAGTAATTGTCATGTGGCGGCCATTTTGATTAATCTTATGTCAAACCTTCGCGCGAAATTCAAAAATTGAGTGTACAAATCTAGTTTACAAATTTTAGGCTTTTACATTTATATACATATACCAATTGCATGTCATTTTAGGATATAAAAATATGAAAAAATGATAAAGAATAAAGAATATTCTTTAATGAAAATATTATACAATGAATTACTATATGGTCAAAATGATTTTTATGAAAAACAGATTCTTGTATAAATAAAAATTTAACCAAATCAGCATTATCATGAATAATTAAAATGCACGTTTTATATATTTCTGTATTAGTTATCTATTTAAATAACCGAATTCAACAGTATCTTCAATAACATATAAATCCACTATGGCTTGTAAATTTAAATATTTGAATGATTAATATAATATCGAACTAAATTTTTATAAAAACTAGAATATCATGAGAAAGAAATATTAATAGTAATTAAAGACAAATAGTAGATATAACAATAACTTATATAAAATCATAATTAGTTCTTTAGCCTATTTTTATCACATATTTTTAATTATATTCTCAGATTTGCAGTTACATATAAATAATTTCACAATTTTTAAATGTTTTAAATATAATAAAGTAATATTCATATTTATTTTATAAGCACATATAAAACAATTCTCTATTGTTTTCATTAAGATCACAGTGAAATGTTTAAGTTGATGATAGATGACTGGTCTCCTAATAAACAATAAAATATTGTTTAATCTAAATAAAGAGAATAAAATATATTCTCTATTATTGCCATAGAATAATAATTTCATAATTAAATTTATAGAATAAAATTTAACAACAGTCCGATATAATATTTTAAGAATAGAAAATGATTACTGCCAATTTACAGTAATTAATATCATTAATATTAACAAGAAATACATTAAAAACTTAAAAATTATGCATTTACTAGTGCTATTAAGCCACATACAATATTTTTCAATGTTTAATGACGTGGAACATAAAAAAGATTAAGTACAGATATTAAAAATAATATCCATTATGATTCAAAATTATAACTAATTTTAATGTGTTTGAAATTTCTATTTATAACTACTGCAATTATTAATAATTTTGCTTCTATTATTTTTAGTACTATATTCAACATTTTATTAAAATATGTATTCCTCTTGTATTCTTAAAGTTTCAATAGTATTCTTCAATAATATTGTGTAAGTATATGTAATGAAATTTAAATAAGCACATTGCAAATTGTGGCATTAAGTTATTTAACAATACATTATCTACTTTTTTGTCTTTGAACTATATTTGTTATTTCTTAAAATTTAGATATAATGGAAATATTGATTGTTTTCTTATAATTACATTATTAACTTTCTAAATTCAGTGTCTTTATGTTTTATAATAATTTAGTGGTGTATTCAATCTGTGAATGCAAAGTATTTTCCTTAGTACATACTTTATTTGTAAAAATTAATTATTTTTTTTACAATGCATCAAATTAAATTTCTTATTGCACAGTGAATATATTTTTGGCATTGCATGATCATATTAGTTTTATTATCCTAATAACACATGTTTTATATTCAATTTTACTGGTTCAAATATAAATTAAATTTGATATTCAATATTACTTGTACAAGTAAAAATGTTAATATTATCAGTAGACCTACATCACAATAGGAATAAATTAGTGTTAGATAACTTGAATAATGATCATTTTAATGATGAAATGTGCTTAGATTTAATGTAAAAGCTTTTAACAATGAAGCTTTCTCTTTTTAATTCAAATGATTTGTTTTTTTTTTTCAAGAAATCTAACACTTATTATTGCCTAAAGTAATGCATCCATTAAAGAAAATATTATTTATTCTAAATGTAGCTCAAATTCCTTGCACAAAAATTTAGATCATTTATATCTCAAATAAAACAAATCTTTCGTTCTTTGCTATAATAATATATTAAAGTATACCGAATCTCATCTAAATACCTATAAAATGATTTATAAATTCTTTAATAAATACGTATAATAATTAAATATATCAAATTTATATTATGTACAAAACTTAAAACATCTTGATATATATTTTCCAATAATATTAATATACTTTTAAATCCTACAAATATAGTATTTGGAAAATAAATTACATAAAATAAATATATTTTTGATTATATAAATAAACTTATTAGAGCTGCTATTTATATATATATTTTTTATTTAGTGTTTATGTTTTTTTTTTAGTATTAACGTGATAATTTTTGCACAATTTGTGATTAATTTGTGTTCAAAGGTAGAAACAATACCTTATTAGTGTTTGTGATTGGATTTCATTTTGTTGTAAGCTATTTTTATTCCTCATCTGTATCCCCATCACTAGAATAGCCTTGAAGTAAGGGAGCACTTGTAAAAGGAGCAGTATTTATTTGCCTAAAACATCATTAATATTATATAAATAGATTAAATTACACATATTTTATGACTTATTATTTTAATCTCATTTGGTAGTAAATTTAATATTATAATAAAGTTTTTAACCATTACAATGAAGATGAAACAAGAATTATATTACTAAACTTCATCATTACAATTAACAAGATAATATACTTACGCAAGCCTACGATAGTGATTGAGCCATTCTTCTAACATTTGAGCAACGAGCAAAGGTCGTTTATGAAGACGCTGTTGTGCTACCAGTAAACCACCTTCTGTGACACATACATCTAACCATTGGCGTAGAATGCTTTCTTCCCTTCCAGTCTAAAAAATATCAAAATCAAAATCAAAACTTATAACTTCAATATACATTATTTATTTAATTTTTTTTTTATTCATGCAGGATTGAGTACATCACATATTAATTAATTACCTCAGCTTGCGTCAGGAAATGAACAGGTAGCATTTTTCTTTCGTGGTCCATTAATGGCAAGAATGTTATTTCTTGATCAGCATCTCTATCTTCTAGTCTCGAATAAGGCTCCATTGTAACTAAAGCTGTGAAATGGCCACGAGTGTAGCCTAAGGCTATTGGGGATCTGATGCAAAATGACTGATCCCATAGTAGAGGCAGATATACACCTGAACAAGTCAGAAAAAATATTAAAAGCGATAAGAATAGCAGAACATCAAATAAAAATTTCAAAATTATTAGTATATTAAAGTAGCTATACCTTACCTTCAAATCTAGCATATCCCAAAGCTTCACCCCTAAAACTTTTCACATACTTTACTCCATACACTATTATAGGTCTTCTTAGAACATGAGCTAGTGCAAACACATGCAGTTGTTCAAGCGAACTACCAGGTTGACTGGCCAATGATAGCAAAGCAGCCCAATCATCTTCCCATTGGGATTCATCCAATGAGAAATGCATTAGTGATGCTTGAGATTTTTCATATTCTTTCCAGCGAGGAAAAAATCTAAACGAGACTCACAAAATATTAATTATGTGAATATCATATTGATAATTAATTATTTATTCTATATTTTATATTCCTAAAGAATATTAAATGTTTTACTACATAATAACATACTTTAATTTAAAAACTTACACATGACCAGCTTGATGCAAACTGTCTGCTAACGCCCTGCGTAATGTATTATCACGATCAAAAACACCCCAAGTAGCTTGCATTGCACTATCTAACAAGCAATCTCCGGCAGATCTATTCCACAATGCATACAACCGAGAACCTAACACATATTGTATAAATAGATAATGATATATTGAAGAAATTTAAAAATACAAAATTACAAATGAAGTTATGGCATACACTCACCTAATCTAACTGTTACTTCCAATGACCAATTAAGAGCAGGTGGTGCAGATTCTAATTGCTGCTGTGAGTCTTTATCAAGCAACTCTTCAAACAGTTGCTCCTGCACTGATGTAGGCAACTCTTCAATATCTTAAAAAAATTGTTAATACAATTCCTTCAAATTATTTTATTTGATTCATTTCAATTGATATTAATTACATATTACAAATATCATTCATGCTGAACTTAATTAATTAAATAAAAAATAATATGATATTTATTTGATTTGAAATAAAAACCTGCAGGCAATGCAAAAGTTGCATGTTCTGTGATGAAACTGCAAGGAAAGGCTCCTTTCCTTAATCTTACAGTACCAGCTATGTGTCGTCTGATATCAGTAGCTAAATCAGGAGCAACATATGATGGAACTCTTTTTATACCGGATCCAGAACCTGATATTTGTGATAACAAAGTTGCTAACATGTCTTCTCTGTGAAATCTAATACAAAAATATAAAAAAAATATTACAAAAATCTGATTTTAATTAATTACGAAGTTTTGAAATGCCATCATTTTATGAAAACTTTTAAATAAAAATGTTTACCTAATAGCTAAATGTATGAGAGTATGACCAACATCAAATGCAGAACTTCTATTTAAAAGAGCTACTTCATTAGCTGTTAATTGCCTTGTTGGGTCACCTCCAGATGAGATATATGCCTCTACTGGATTTATATCACCTTCTAGCACGCCTGTAGACAAAAATTAACTTTAGAAATAAAGCATTAATTACTTTTAGTGAAAAAGACTCATAATTTTAAGTTAGAAGTTACTTTACCTAAACATGCATTTAACCAACTCCAGTCAGCTTGCCGTCTCAATTGGCGTAATCTTCTTTCCAATTCACAGTTGTTTGCATTCTGACCAATATTCTGTGTTCCTCCCTCATTACAGCCTTAAAATAAATATTTGTCATAAAATTCAAAATTCCAAATTCATCAATATAAACATTATTCATCCAAAAAATAGTATAATTCATTAATTTTTAAAATAAATCAGTCAATACTTACTATTAATGTAATTTCAACTCTTTGGAGTTTTATTATAGTTTATATATTATAATACATATTTATTTAACATCTTACCCATTCTAGAACTATGCCTCTTGATAATCATATTATTGCCAGAACAGTCATCTGATGATAAAGCGGCATTACTACCACTGAATTTATTTATAGTATTATTTAAAGCAGCAGCTTGATCCCTTTCAGGTGAAGGCAAGCTAGTTGCAATAATACTCCCGTTAGAATTATTTCTTGAATGTGCTTGGCTAGTTATAGTACAATTAGGATTTTTATTTGGTGATATTATTCGCAAGCCCTGTTGGTCTTTGTTAATAATTGAGCTACTATTTACATTTGAACGCTGTGTACCACACATTGTACATTTTAAATTTTTTGGCCAATTTTCATATGTACACACCTGAAATGAATGCTTAAATTACTAATTTAACAGAGAATAAAGACATTATATTAAATGATCTTCTTTTGCTAGAAACAAAATCTAAACATTAAATTAATATAAACTACTTACAGGGCAAGACCATTTCATTTGAGAATCATCATTATTTATAGGGCTTGTAGTACGACTTCTTAAATTTAATGAGCTATTTTTTTTTGGTTGATTTATAATCATGGCTTGTGCTAGATCAGAATTTTGATGCATTCGTAAAGGCTCATGATTTTCAAAATTTGTACCTGAAAATGAATAATGCGTATTATTCATGAATATAAATGCTTAAAATCTGATAAGAATTTTGTACTTTTCTTGGTGTTGCATTGAACGCAAGTTTGAGCTCGGGGCCAATTTAGAAATGTACATGCTGTGCAGGACCATTTGTCAGAATAAGGAGATTCAGCTGAGCCTATAGCAAGCCTGCAAATAAAATAAAATAGAAAAAATATGAATGACAAACCATAATTTATTATACATATATAATATATGTGAAGATACTTACCCAGGTAAATTGCTTGAGGACTCAGTCACAGGACTCAATCGAAATATGTCTTCATTCAGCAGAGGCTTTGATCCTCGGCACATTGTACACTTCAATGATGATGCATAATTTTCAAATGTGCAATATTCACAAACCCACTTATCCGGATAAATGTGATCTTTCTCAGAAGCACTCATCATAAAGAAATAGGGACAACATATATGGGGCTATTTAAACTATTAAGTAGGGCTAAATACTAAACATATTCGATATCAAAACTAGATTTGTGATTTGAACTTCACTAGGAAATGTTTTCAGAAATTGGAATATGTAAAACTTGTATAGACCTTGTCATTTCTTTTGATTTTTTTATGATATACACGTTAACATTTTTTTTTATTTTTTATTGCGTTTACTTTCCACCTGAAAAAGAAAATTTATTTTCACAGCACTTCGTTTCTCTTTAACTTATAACACATGACACTAACAAAAATAAAATTATATTCCAATGATGAAAACAAGAATGTCAGCGATGTAATAAATGTGCCATACAGTAGCAATAAAAATGTAATGACAGATCACTTAATTAGGACACGAAACCTTGAGATATTTATGTTACGTACTTAGTTGTATTTACAATAAATAATATCCCAACAATATATTCAATATATATTATTGAAATATACTTTTAAAACATCAAGTAAACAAATCAATAAGTAAATTTTTGAAAACTTATGACAGTAGAAAACATATAACCCAAAATGAATATTAGAAATTGTGAACACATATTTCGAGCACTGTACGTATACATCACTATAACGACATTCGTCCTACCTATGCCATTTTGAAAATTTTTGCATTTAATTTATTGAATACTATTCAATTTTGATATTTGATTATTTCAAATAAATTTCTTTCGTTCATTTGCAAAAACATTACGTCAGTCATCACACAACATTCTGGTTCAGCAGACCATTAGAGCCATAAACAAAACATTCTGAAAAGATATGACACTGCATCAAAATACGAATATGCTGATAGTACAAGTTAGTTTCACAACATACATGTGGCGCTTCTGAAAAAATGATTAAAATAAACATTTAAAATAAATACAAAGGAATTGAACAAATAATATATTTTTCACTTATTACTGCAATTATATATATACCCATATATACCCATTAATTTATATACCAATATACAAATTAGGATCAAAATAAGGGAATAGATAAAGTTGATAAGATGTTTTGGTATGCTAGTATATTGATATGATTAATTAATATTTTGTTATCTCTACTATATTTCTTCTTATTAAATTAATTGTTAAATATTTATTGTCGATTATATATGAACGACAACTCATTGACTACAAGACTGATTTGAATAACCCACAAGTATTTTTTTTCAGATCTTATTCTTTGAATTGTGTAACAATATTATTTTTTATTTAAATTAATATATCACATGTTTAAAGTTGAAAAATACAACAGAAATCATAAAATAATAAATCATAAAATCATAATTAATAAATAATAAAATTAGACCTGAGTTACCAATCTAACTTTATTTATGTGTATTTGAGCGTCATAAAATGAATCAAAATGGCGGAATTACATTTTATACACATTATATTCATTGATAATTTTAAGTAAATACAAATATGTTTACATTGTGCAAGTAATCAAGAATGTTTGGATTTAGTCTTATTGGCACTAATCTACGATTTATTTACGTAAGAAACTTTCGAAAACAAATTTGGAGTGCTTACATAGACAATTATTAGCATACTCCAATGAAATATACTAATCGTTTTAAAATTTATTTATATCTGTATTTTAGATTTGTGATATTTACAATGGAAGTGAAATATTAAAACTGTGAAGAGCTACACGCAAACAGATTTGTAGAAAAATGCTTTCACAATATATCACAATGCAAAAGAATGTGTGTAATTGCTACCTGTCTTTAGCAACAAGTATGTGCCTGCCATTTGTAAAATCAAGAACATTTTCCTGATATTCAAATATAAAAGGATTTTTTACTACTGCTGTTTATTCTAAAATTGATATCCATGGTTCAACAAAATAAAAAATTCTCCAGTCCCCGGGAATATAATATGGCGACACACGATCAGCCAGTTAAAAAGAAACAAAGAATAGACTTAGATCATGGGCCTGATATATCAGATGCATCACCACCAGATAAAGATGAAACTGATTGTATGAGCATTAGGACTGTGGATGTTCAGTCAGGAGCAAGATATGCTGAGAACAGAGAGTTATATTTATTCCAAATTAATTTAACAAAACAATGTCTGTGCTTTGTTACTGAAAAAACATTGCGCAAACCATTTGAAGGGCATTACACATTAGATGAAAATGGCACTGTGCAAAATACCATACTCTCCAAATGGCCCACAACAAATATTCTTCAATTTTTGTCCAATGTTCAATTACTATTCGATGTGTATCTTAAACAAAATACAAAGGGTGTTATATGTGCGCGGGTGATGGACTTATGTGATGCTATTATTCGTAATGAACATAATTTAATAGAAGAAGTTATAAATTTAGGTGATATTGATAACAAATATGTGTCATTTCTAGCCAGCAGAGTATTATCAAGTTTTCTAATTATTGCTAAAGATAATATGGATGTGCAATGGTTACAAAAAATAGTTGAAGCTTTATTTATGTTTGAGAGACTAGATTTTTTAGCAGTGCGCAAAATTATATTTAGTTTAGAAATTATTAAAAGAGTTGTAGAGTGGAAAGACATTGACCAACATCCCCTAGATGATTCAGCTTATGACAATAATGTTGAAGAAGACATTAATCAACCATCAACATCATCAAATTATGAAAATTCAATGCAAGTTGATCGGATATCACCAATTTGTTGTAACAATGTTATTCCAGAAGAAGATCCCATAAATGTACCGAGTATTGAAATGACAAATTGTCATTCAGTTGAGCTTAAGGACTCAGAAAGCTTCGACACTACACATATTAAATGTTTAGCAATAAAAACTTTAGAAAACAAATGGCCCGATTTAGTAAATAATATTAGATCATTATTAATTCAGCATATGGATATTAAAAATGCTGAGAATTGTGTATTAACTTTTTTGAGTTTGTGGGAGAATATAATAAGTGTTAAAGCAAATTTGTCCGTTATTGAAACGAGGCCATTTTATGCTCATTTAGAAAATTTTGTTGTAATACTCAACCCATCATTATCCAGTATTGTATACAAGCAATTGCTATCGTTATTTAATGAAGTACTGTGCTATGGTAGTACATTGGCTTTACAAGACATGTTACCTGAAGAAACATGCTCCTTAGCACATTTGATTGTACGCTATGTAAAAGACTTTCGAATTTTAGATGGTTTACCCTTAAAACTGGTAGAAAATTCAGTAGGCTTTGTTGGTTATCAAGGTATTCCTCGAACATACATTAATGGATCATTAACAACAACCGAATTACCTGATATTAATGATCCTGAGCCTATAAACACAATTGATCGTACACTGTTGCAGAAAATGGTGCTGTTAGTTCTAAAATCTGTAGCTGTAACGGTTAAAGAAACGCGGAGTGACACATCTGATTCTAGCATAGACAGCGCTGATTTTGATGTTTTTCAAGATATGCAACTCATTGAGAGGTCAATTAGAGATGTATTGAAGAAGCTTGAAGTGTTTATTAAAAATACCTTAGACTTTCATCCAGAAAGCAGTTTTTCCAAGATATTAGTGCATTTGTTTAATGACCAAGATGATTACTTAATCGAAGCTATGGTTTGTACTTTAGATACAACAGTAGGAATTTTGTACAGAAATGCAGTATTTCCTGACCTTGCAACTATGTTAAACCCTGTCAGCTTTTTTATAGAATTTTTGAACATAGTTTCTCATGATCCAGATATATTACTAGATTATCTGGTCAACAATGAAACATGCTTCCTATTATATCTATTACGTTTTTTAAAATATGTAAGACGGAATTGGTCTAAATTTGTAATGACATGTCATGAACATAACAATCAAAATGGTCTAGATGAAACCATGTCAGTTCTAATTCGTCTGAGACTGCAAATTGCTCGACTTGTGTCCCGGTCACTGTTTCCTTATAATATCAGCCCTGTACTCAGGCTTTTAGAAGTATGTGAAAGTCTGTATGAAGGAAACGAAATTAGTTGATAATTTAATTGTTAGAACTATAATAGTTTAGGAATATTCTAATACGTGCTTGACTAGAATAAATTATTTTGTTTGTTTTATTTTGAAATATTATAGTATTGAAAAATGACCTGAAAAGAATACTAGAAAAAATGACATTTTCTAATCATATATTCTTAAGAAGAAATCTGTTACGTAGGTTTTTTGCTTCAAAATTACACAATATATGCAATAAGTATAGTACTTTATTAATTATAATGTAAATGTGAAGAGAAAAGAAAGTAAAATCCAGAAAAGCGCCATTATTTTTATAAAAATTATGTTATCTAAGTGGAATATATATATTTTTTTGGTGATCCATAAAACCATTAATTATAATTATTCATATATTTAAAATATTTAACTAATTAAATCTGTATTTAAAAAAAAATTAAATCAAGTACTGTTTGAAAAAATGACAACTTTGTTACCGTACTGTTTACTTGCAAATATTTGATTAAATTTATTTACACTTAGTAATTTAAGTCAAGAATGAATGTGTAAATATGTTAGATATCCTCCATATTTTTGGCAAAAATAAATTTGACTAAAAATTTACATTTATGCCATATGTTAATATCAATTTGTTATATATATGTACTTATAGAAGTATTTATATATGATATAATATTAATGAAATTTCTAGTTTTATTTTTGTGCGTTTGGTGAAATAAGATTGTTGAGAGTTTGCACCATATGTGTAATTATATATATAAATGCAAAAATTACAATAAATTATTAATAAATAAAACTGTATATAGCTAAATTATATAACAAAATGTGCCTTGAGTCTGCCTTGAAAATATAAATTAGGAAAATTGTGTAGTGTTAAAATAATTCATTCCATATTGTAATACTTCCCTATTTATTCTATCCTCTGATAACAAATTAAATTATTACCATGGTTTGATTTAATGTACTTTTGATTAATAAATAAGTTATTAATAAAGAAAATTTTTACTTTGCTCAAAGCAATTATGTAAAGTAGTCGCTTTATTATAAGCAAAATATTTAATAGCAAACAATTAAAAAAGCTAATTATATGGGTTTTGAAATTTATTTCCAAGGAATATTACTATACATCCACAATCTATCTTTATATTATATACAATATCTATAACTCAATCTTAATTCATTCTTACAAAACATGTTGATCTTAAGTGCAAATACAAACAAAATACAAAAATATTTTTCTATTTCTTATATTCAAAATATTGCTCTGTAACTTTTATTGCCAATATTACATTGAAAATTACCAATTCGTAGTATAGTCCAAACCTAGAAGAATTATTTTAGTTTGTGGTTAAATATTTAATGAGCAAAATATATTATGTCGTAATGTGCTAAAGTACATACTTTTACTCAAACTTTAAAATCATTATGTAAATAAATATAAAAAATAAACTCTTCAGATCGGTATAACTATAATTTTTTGGAATTGATAATAGAAAAAAAATTGTAGTTTCAATCATTGAATACATGTTCTTTTACAAAAACACAAAAAAATGGGAAAATCTTCATAGGTTGGTTTATGTAATTAGAAAAAAATCTATGATTTGGAAACTATATGATTGTGCCAAGATTATATCATCTTCTGCAGTCTAACATCAAAACATATATGTATAAATTAAATTTCAATTACATCAAGTGTTTTTTACATTTCCAAGTACACAATTTCAGATACTTAGTTATCATAATCTTCATCAAGCTCTTCATTAGAATTGGCCGATGAAAATTTTGAACTATATAATGGGTGCATTTGTTTTTTATCAGTGATTGGTACTAGAGGAGGCGGATTATGGGAATTATATTTTGTTAAATCTATATGAAACATTGGAGAACTTCCAGTTGCAACCTGATTTGTAGAGGTAGTAGGACTATTATACGAATTCTGTGATAAATCCAAATGAAAAACGGGTTGGGCATCTGTGACCACAGTACAAGGACTATTTAAAGCTTTTGTTTGACTTGTATCTAATTTTGCTAATTTTGGTGGTGTGTGGCTTATGTTATTGGTGGGAAGTGTATGTTTGTTATTCTGCTGTCTAGATCCATACTGTATAACAGAATTTGGAGTGTAAGAAGGTGAATTTGACAAATCCTTATAAAAATTTGGACCAGACGAACAATGTGCAATTTCGGTAGAATTTGTTGTTGCTAGATCTAATGGCTTGATGTGCTCAGTGCCATTTCCAGATACTTTAGGAATAGGCATCCGACTAGCATAATTGTGTTCGGGCAAAGAGTTTGAAACTTTTTGTACTGCTTCATTGTTATGTGGTACAGGATCAAAAACTTCTTCCACTGTTGATACATCTGGTATTTTTTCAACAAGGTCTTTTAGAAAATCAAAACGACTTTCTGACAAAATACATTGTTTCATATGTGAAGGACTCAAGGTTTTGGCATTTTTTGCATTTGTTACTTGCATGGCTTTCTTCAACAGTGATTCCACAAAAAGTTCCAATGTTCTAGGTAAGCATTATTAAGGCTTATACGGTTTTGGATAAAATAATATCTATGAAACAAATTAATAATTAGGCTGTAGTTATAAATGTTAATGAATCTTATGAACAGATGAGTTCTTCAAATATCACTCGTACTCGTTATAAGGTTTATGTTTTGAAAGACAATTCTATTACGCTATTGATTCATTATTGAAAAAGGATATAGATGATAATAGGAACAGCAAGTGCGACTTTTCCTACTTCTTCATCAGTTTGCATGATTTTTTTGATCCTTCCCTAAAATGATTATAAAGCATATGCACATTCTGATATTTGTTTCAATATTTCTGTATTACGATGCAACATACCGCTGGAAAGCGCGCATTATATTTCTTCTTTTTTGACGGCATTGTGAATTTTGTACAATCGTAGTGACAGATTGATCCTTCTTAATTGATCGTGAAAATTTTTAGATTTTCACATTGCACAGCTGACAATTTCTTGTGTGACACAATATTTACAAACAAGCGAAAACTTCGATTAAAATTCATCGCAAGGATTCTAAATCATCTCTCTTGGAAAGCTAAAGTTTTTAACTCAGAAAATTAATTAATTTCGTTTACTAATTTATATAAAACACAAGGGAATTAAACAAAATATTAATTTGAGATAAGGAGATATTGCTCTTGACAGTTTCTTCAGGCAACGCCGCTGTTGTGGTAACACTACGAAACGTTAAATATGCCACACCACAGATTCGATATTTACGATAAATGCGCTCATTATTTAAAAAATAACTAGGGTTTGTCATTTGTTAAATGAAAAATTGTAATAAATAAAAATTATAAATAATTTCATAACTGTTTTAAAAGAACTAAGTTATAGCATGTTTCTCAGGTACGAGATTTGTTTAAATTACCGCTGGAATTATATCGATAAAGATTATCCTGGAAGCCATGATGTAAAACTACCCTGAATAAAAAAATAAGTCTAGTCTACTTATTTATTCTAATTTAAAATAAATATTTATACTTTATTATTACAGATTAAAGTCAATATTAATTATATCATCAACATTTAATATTATAATAAGATTTTAGCGAATAAATACCAGAAAGAATTAAGAGGATTAGTATTGCCTCATTTAAGAGTCTTTTAATTCATTAATTTTTAATAAATTTTAATTCAAAAATAAAATTAATCATTCCAAACACATTAAAAGTCCATTATTAATCCAAAATTGAGTATCTTGTGGCAGGTATATTTCAAATTAGTTATTATTTTAGTTGATTTCAGTTTTATTATTTTTGACAAAAACATAAACTTCTCCGGTTGAAGAACATCAAAAGCACAACTAGTGGGGTGCATGGCATTGTGCCTTAAAGCAAATTGCTGGAACTTCCCGTACTGTAATTAAAAATCTTGGTACGAAACCCAAAAAAAATTTACACAAAATGTGTACACATTATGAAAATCTCTATCAGATAATTTGATGTCTTATGATCATTTTTGACCTCCAAAGGGCGTTTTTTTTAACTTATTTTTATTGAGAGTCTATAACCGCTGGTCTTGCCTTCCCAAAAATTTAATCAGTTCTTCATCTTGTCAATACAAGTAAAATGTTTTTTGAATTATTAAAATCGGACGCTCCGTTCTCTTAAAAACTGAGTTGCCGTTTTTGGCATTTTTTGCGCCGTATCTTCGGAACGGCTAGACCTGCCTTCGCCAAAAACTAATCAGCACGTCTCCCTATCAATACCAATCGAATGTTGTTTGAATTATTCAAATCGGTTGATCGGTGTTCCCGAAATCGTCGACGAAAATTTGTATCCGCACACACACACATACATCAATTTTTTTCTAAGGTATGCCAAAATGTTCAGAAACCTCTGAAACGTAAAGATATATAAAAATTTTCATTTTCGATTTTTTTTGCGATTACTATACTATAACTTACTCTATGGAAAGTTAATTATACCAGACACATTAAAAGTCCATTACTAGTCTAGAATTGAGTATCTTGTGGCAGTTATATTAGTTATTATTTTAGATGAATTCAGTTTTATTATTTTTGGCAAAAACATAAACTTCTCCTGTTGGAGAGCATCATCAAAAGCACAAAAATAAATATTTTATTCTAATTTTTGACAAAATTTCTAAGAACAATAGTCCAGTCATTATAGTTGTATGGGTGTCAATATATAAGTATTTACATATATACATATACATATATATATTATTACATAATTTAAGTTTAAATAACTGGGCTACAAGTAAGAATAACAGTATGAAAAGCTGGAAAAAAATGTCCATTTTCCATTTTTATTCCAAATGCACTTTTGGTCTATTTGCGACAACTATACAACATTGTAGAGCATTTAAATTAATGCAATTTACAAACACGACAGGAGCGCAATAGTTGTCCTTAATTCTCTATTATGTTTCAGGAAATGAAGTATTATTAGATCTAATGAAGAACCATCAATCCGAACAAACAAAAATGTCGTAACTGCACATGGGGTAAAAATCTTAGTAAATTATGAACCATTACAGATACTGGTGGATAAATTGATCTAACCAATTCAAGTATTAATTTATTCTAACCAAAACAAAAAATTTCTAATTCCTAATAAAAAATATAAATAGACAAAGATGATAGCCATGATAGCTATACTTTAAAATAGTTCTAAGTGGCATTTTGCCTGGTGAGCTTAAGTTTGGAAACTAATGAATGCTAATAATATTTCAAATAGAAACAAATTTATATAATTCCTTAAATTGTGTAAATTAAATAAATTTCTTGAACTCATTTCATTCTATAGAATGTATAAAGTATACTTTGTGCTCTAAAAATGTTTTTTATTCAAGAACAAAACACATAACTGCGTAGATTTTAAGTTCATTATTACAAATTTTGCTGATTTTTTATAATTCAACCCCTTATCGTAGGCATATAATAACTATATTAGATTTAGACCATAAAATTTATAGTCAATTTTTTTTTAAGAATTAATTACGAAGAAACGGCACAGCCGATCTTTAATAAAACCTAATCAGCGGGATTTACAAATGATATCTTTCGAAGAAAAGAATATTATAAAGAATAAACTAGTGGTGTATAGCATCGAGCCTTAAGGCAAATTGCTGGAAAAAGATTAATAATGTTTTAACATTTTGAAAAAAATAGATTTTTGAAAAATTTTAAATTTTTGAAAAAAAAAATACTTTTTTGGATAAAAAACTAATATAATATTTCAATTTTCAAAATCGGTTGATGATTTACTCGAAAACCTTCATACAGATTGAAATAAAACGGTTTTACCAATCACCGCGAGTCCCTATCGAGTTTCATCAAATGGCTCTTTAATTTTTGAAATCAGTACAGCCGTTTCTGAAAAAACTTGGGCTCGCATCAAGCCTAACTTTGATCTCAAACGATTCAGAATTTCTTAAATAGTCTAAAACATAAAATTAACTAGTTACTTTTTTAAATATCTAATTGATTAAATTAAACTATTGTTATTGAAGTGACCCTATATAGTATTTCTTCACACAAGGCTGAGAGAAACGATCTTTTGTAAACGCCATGACTAATAGTTCTAAACCGCTAATATAATAGAAAAAATAATAAAATCATATTTGTATAGTTGAATATACTTAATCCTCCCTTTAAATAAGCTTTGTATACGCCACATAACAAAGTAAATTTTTAAATAGAAATTAACGAATATGTCCAGAGAAAGGAGATAGTTTGCCATTGAAAATATTATGAAGGACCAGAGGTCTCCAACAGTTAAAATTCACATTTTGTGAATATTTTGACCAAATTTTAATTATGGTTATTCGAACAAGTCATTATATAATTTGTCATATTGTAAAGAATATGTGTTTTTTTGTAAAATCTAAGCCTATTATTTTTTTCTATTTAAGATAATTTTAACATAATTATATTTTATATTTAAATCCGTCGTTGATAGGTTGCATATTTCTAAAACAGTATATAAGTATACTTAGGATATTTAACATTTCGAATTAGAAATTATTAACTACCCAAAGGAGAAGTTTATGTTTTTATAAAAAAAATCCGATTCGCTATAATTTTATGTTTTCTCGACGTTTCAAGCCATTCTGAATCGAATGAGACCATATTTGGAAAAAGTATGTATGTGTGTGTGTGTAGATACCATAGTCTTATAGATCATACTAAAATATTACGGCCCTACAACAAGTCGTATAATTTTAAAAATTCTTCAAAGTTTGCAAAACTTAGTATCGTTTTTTTGGCATTTGCTCAAAAACGCCTGAACCGATTTCAAAAATTTTAAAGCCATTTGATGTATCTCAATGAGGACTATCGTTTGTCAGATTTGTGCAACTATCTGCCAAGCCGCTTCTTTGTAATTTGGAAAAAAGTGTTAAACTTTTCGTCCACATTTAAGCTCGGAATCGATTATAAAAAAATCAAAAACTGTTCGAAAGGTATAGTAAATTAAGATTTTGTAGAGTTTCTTCTTTCTATAAAGAAATTTCTCAACTTGTGAAATAATATATAAGTGATAGATATATTTTTATTAATTGCAGAGTAATTAAATTATCAATTTTAATACATTTCATTGTCACATTATATATTTTAAGCATCACTACTAGATTATGTTCACACATAGTGTCTCTCTACATTTTTTTCTCGCAACTTTATCATTATCTCACTACAAGCCGCGGATTCTCAATACTTTGATACATAGAATCATTATTTAATTATAATAATAATAATTATTATATACATCTTGAGATAGTTATTTTATATTTAACTGAACCTTTTATATGTGCAACTATTAAAAATAATCAATTATCATGCTTTTACTTATAAAATGCGTTTTCATAACAATGATTTTAGTAACAGATTTGTTAATTTAAAACAAAATTATTAATTGATTGAACTAGTGATGTAATTTGATAATCATAAATAAAATCTGCTGCTCATATGACAAATTTTTAAGCTATTCATGATATCTTGAGAAAGAAATTCAGAAAAAATATTTATCTTATTTATCTAGACTATTATCAGTATTTACTTAAAAAATAGACTGAAATATATTCCAATATTAAGATGTGACAGGTAATAAAAAAAAGCTAGACCAGTTTTTCTAAATTGATTTTGATATTTCGATAATATCCTAAATTCTATAATATATTTTACTATGTATTGTTTATATTTAAATTTTATTGCAAAGTTTTGCGTACATTAAATAATTAATTTCAAAATATAGTAATATTTTTTATGTTGACTATGCTCAGTACAACTGAGTTGCATATAATGATAATAATAATAATAATTAAAAATTATAAAATTTGCTAAATGTATAGTTGAACATATAAGGTAAAAGACCCAGTTATTGACCCTGGCCCAGTTTCTGACCTTTTCAACTTTTTTTGGAATTAATTAAAACACTATACATTTAATGTGAAAATAATTTTTTTCTTAATTGACAGTAATCTATTCTATGCCTCATTAATGTCAATTAAAAAAATATAAAAAATATTAACTAAATAAAAAAAATTGTTTAAACCAAAAGTGACTGTGGAAGCCATTTTTTAGCTTTAGTCTAAACAGCTTATGTAAGGAGCTACGACAATTGAGTTCGTGCACTAATTATGATGTAAGTACGAAAATCTAACTAAAAAT